GTTTTTTTAAATCCAAGCTATTGTGACACCAGATCTAATTGGTGGCACTGGTCAGCGTATCCACTGTTAGCGTAACACACCCGCTTTAAGGACACTGACTGCTATTCAATCTATAACAGTAAAAAAAGTTTTTGGTTTTTAAATCCAAGCTATTGTGACACCAGATCTAATTAGTGGCACTTGTCATCGTATCCACTGTTAGCGTAACACACCCGCTTTAAGGACACTGACTGCTATTCAATCTATAACAGTAAAAAAAGTTTTTTGTTTTTAAATCCAAGCTATTGTGACACCAGATGTAATTGGTGGCACTGACTGGGGAAATGGGCACAGTATGCACCGTGAGCCTGACACAGAAGCTGGCAGCAGTGGCAGACAACTGACTGCTATTCAATCTATAACAGTGAAAAAAGTTTTTTGTTTTTAAATCCAAGCTATTGTGACACCAGATGTAATTGGTGGCACTGACTGGGGAAATGGGCACAGTATGCACTGTGAGCCTGACACAGAAGCTGGCAGCAGTGGCAGACAACTGACTGCTATTCAATCTATAACAGTGAAAAAAGTTTTTTGTTTTTAAATCCAAGCTATTGTGACACCAGATGTAATTGGTGGCACTGACTGGGGAAATGGGCACTGTGAGCCTGACACAGAAGCTGGCAGCAGTGGCAGACAACTAAGTGCATTTACATTACATAGAAAAAAAAAAATTAAAAAAAAGCATACCCTTATCCCTAACCTAGCTATGCTTTTCCCTATCTTATGAACAGCAGCTACACTTTCCCTCCTCTTACTAAGCATGCAGCTTGAGAATGAATCTAAAATGGATGCTGTCCAGTAGGTGGGAGGGTCTGCTAGGGAGGCTGTGCTGCTAATTGGCTGGAATGTGTCTGCTGACTGTGAGGTACAGGGTCAAAGTTTACTCAATGATGACGAATAGGGGGCGGGTCGAACCGCGCATATGTTCGCCCGCCGTGGCGAACGCGAACATGCTATGTTCGCCAGGAACCGTTCGCCGGCGAACCGTTCGGTACATCACTAATAAGCATAAATAAACCTTTTCACATCGACCATACGCCCACAACCTGTAATGTTGCAATATAAAAATGTGTTGCACCTTCCACATGCTGACCAATTGTTAATATATGTTTGGTATCATGCTTGACAAAACTGTTGGGACATGACGAGCTCACTTGATATATTTTCATGCACACCATAACATGATATTGCACATAGTTATTACATGCTCCTGCTTATTTAGCAATGCCTGTCTTGGCATCACTTTGATATGTCTGTTTTTTCTTTTGTTAAATTTCTTTTGTTAAATCTTTTTGGTTAAATCGTGAATTTCTCACTCAAACAAAAAACAAAGTGCAACGCATAACGACCATGTCACGAGAATTGTCTTCATTTGCCTACTACTGTAATATTATGTGACAACCTTGACAAATGTACCTACCAATGCACTTTCAAAAATAAAGACTTGAAAAAAAAAAATGATAATTTTCCACATTGGTATCATATGTATCAGTTGGTTAGAGCGGTGGTAAACCCAGGTTCAAATCGCGGTTAGACCACCTCACCTCACCTTGGGCAAAGCCCCTAACGATATATATCCACCTACCTCAATAGGTTGTAAATCTGTTTGAGCATGACCTTCCAATACAGCCCGCTGAAAGGAATTAGTGAGCAAATAATAGTGTTTACAGGCGTGAAGGACACCAGAGATTTGATATTTTCCATTGAATCGGTTCTTGTTACTTCTGCTTAACTCAAAAATGAGAATTTGCTCAACCTATTCTCCCCATTGACACACGTTAATTGTTATTTACCTCAAAGTCTCTGGGATTATTTGCATTAATGGTCATTGAATCTGATTGTCGTTCTGTTAGAAGGAACTTCCTGGTCTCAGCAGGTTTACATGGTATAGTGTTAAACAATGGGAAGTCTCTATGGAAGGTGTCTAAGGAAATGAAGAGATGTCAAACACCCGCTGAGTTTCGTGAATACAGAGAGCACTTTATTTACCAGACTCCCTACTGCAGTCAACTGAGAAACAAATGATAATATTTAGGGAAAAAGTACGGAATCGAAATATCTGCAATAGTCACAGCGTGGATGTTTAAGCCAACATTTTGCACAACGATATTCATTTCATTACAATTAGCTGTTTAGGAAATAAACTCCGTTGCCATTGGAGTGTTAGCTCGGCCGCAGGAGTTTCGGCCTAATTGTCCTTAAATGGTACTTGTTAGCTATATTCTGGCCACTAAGCAGATCAGTTCCTATGTGTTAGTCTGGCTGGAGAACCAGACTGTGCTTATTGACCATATCTGGGCAGTCAGGCAGTCTCATACTTGGCAATATTGCCTGCCCAGCTCCGAAGGTTAGTGGCGGATTGACCCGTAAAGGGCGAGTCTGACCTAAGTGGGCGTGGTTATCCCTAAAATGTTTAGGCAGACAATGCGTGTGCAACAGCAGATGCGCTCCATGCATGGCCCTAGTGCCCTGCCTCTCCTGCATCCTGATATCTGAATTACTGAGCAGACATGAGATTGCTAGACAGGACTCCTAATTGTAGGACTGCCCAGACAGACTATGCAGTCGTTTTGATATGAGGGTTACTGGAAAGAATATAGAAAGCTTAGTCTCTAAACCATCCCAAAACCATCACCCTAAACACTAATAAGCAGCAAGTAACTCTCATCTCTTATTAACATAATAATCACCCTTTCTCCCAATTCTAAACCCACCCAAACGTCCTTCCTAACACTAACTATACAGACAATATATGCATTTAAGGGATAGGCAACCTTCGGTACTCCAGATGGACTACATCCCCCATAATGCTCTTACACCCATAACGCTGGCAAAGCATCATGGGTGATGTAGTCCAAAACATCTGGAGTGCCGAAGGTTGCCTATGCCTGATTAGAGGTAGTGGCGAGAGTATAAATAACAAGTACCACCAGCAGACTAAGTGAATTCATCACAGAGTGGTCCTGGATTGGCTAGCTAGCTCTGGCCGAATCCCTTCATTTATTTAATAAGGTAGTAATTTACTGTCAGAACGTACATCTTCTGCTCAGATCAGGCAACGACATTTAACAATATCAGATTATTTACCCAGGAAGGGAATTTTTATTTCTTAGTAAACATATGTCTCATCGTGTTCCATGCCCAGGGGTAGAGAGGAACGAGGACATTGTGCAATTATATAATGTTGCTTTTAATTCTATTACTTTTTTTTATATATATATTTGTTTTGCGCTCCAGCACCTGCAACTTTCTTTATTTACACTACGAGATCAGCAGAAAGAACAACAGGCATGACAATATGTAGATTATCAGAATGAGCCACTAGACTGTTTGGGGAACAGAGGAGAATTTCATATTATAATTCCACCATTGTAATGCCTCACGCAGTGCCGACATTGCGAACAGCCTCCCCCCTGCTCTCTGCAGACAGTGAAGATTAAATTCCTGTTTGTAGCCCCAAGCTGAATATGCCCAATCTAATTGGGTTAAGGTGCACCCCTCCCTGCCTGACCACATCCACATTTTCTCTGATCGACATGACAGACCACTATCCCCCCCAACAGCTGAACAAATCGGGATATGGACATCTTACGATGACATCTTTCTAACACTTTTCCCTTTTCTGAAGCACGCCACACAGGACACGGAATGACCTCAAGCCATATTAGAGTAAACTCATTAAAGAGTGTGTAGCAACGTGCCCTATCATGCACATCCTCCAACCACCAACATCATACCCACCTGGGTGCAGTACTAGGGTAATGGCTAATACCATCATAAGCACTGTAACCCCTTCCAACGCACCCTCACCATGTCGAAGGAGAACCCCAGGTTACAATTGTAGGCTCTGTCTTCTGTGTGTCTTGTCACCGAATATATGTAGGAATGGCCCAAAATCTAGACATATCGAGGGCTGAACCTGCAATAACAAGAATAACAGAGACGGGAGAAATGCCTGGCACATGACAGCCAGGCCACAATGCAAGACTGAGCGGCATTAATCGCCTGCGCAATGCCACAACTGGAGGGTACTCAGAAGAAAACGATAGATCACATGCACCACACATCACCTTTAATATTGGCAAATTCCTCACCCCACAGCACTACCACCACCACTATGGGGAACAGCTCAAAAAAGGGTAAGTTACCCCAAAACTCGCTGTCAATTCAGTGTTAGACACAGATTTCCACAGCCAACGAGTGTGCCCATTGTACTTGCCCAAAAAGGAGCTCCACAACCACAAGTCATCTCAATGCCAATACTATGAAAGGGTCGTTTTACTCAGAATCCCTAAACTGCTCCTGCAAACTACTAAGACCCCACCCTCTGCCTCGACTTTAATTCCTTTTCTACTTTACAACATTGGATCTCCCACAATTCATGGGCATTAGTCCTGCTACCCCTTCTTCAGATGTCCAGGGGGATCACTTTCCAGTGGGCATCTCCAAAGGGGCATCTAAAGTAAAGTATCTAATTTACACGCACTGATTTCTAAACACACTTACTGTACTTTAAAGGCACATTACTGGGAGTATTATTGCTGTGGAGCTCTGTTATACACTCAGACACATTACTGGGAGTATTATTGCTGTGGAGCTCTGTTATACACTCAGACACATTACTGGGAGTATTATTGCTGTGGAGCTCTGTTATACACTCAGACACATTACTGGGAGTATTATTGCTGTGGAGCTCTGTTATACACTCAGACACATTACTGGGAGTATTATTGCTGTGGAGCTCTGTTATACACTCAGACACATTACTGGGAGTATTATTGCTGTGGAGCTCTGTTATACACTCAGACACATTACTGGGAGTAATATTGCTGTGCAGCTCTGTTATACACTCAGACACATTACTGGGAGTATTATTGCTGTGGAGCTCTGTTATAAACTCAGACACATTACTGGGAGTATTATTGCTGTGGAGCTTTGTTATACACTCAGACACATTACTGGGAGTATTATTGCTGTGGAGCTCTGTTATACACTCAGATACATTACTGGGAGTAGTATTGCTGTGGAGCTCTGTTATACATTCAGACACATTACTGGGAGTATTATTGCTGTGGAGCTCTGTTATACACTCAGACACATTACTGGGAGTATTATTGCTGTGGAGCTCTGTTATACACTCAGACACATCAACAATATGGAGCTCCTAGAAAAGAGGGACATTAGGATCAAAAAGAGTGACTGGGGGATTTGGGCCCTACATGGGGACTGTCCTTCCTAAATAAGGACACTTGGGAGGTATGGTTCAGTTACTATGCAGATTTTTAACAATAAACGTCCAGAAAATTAACAACGTCTTTGGGGATGAAGATTTACTAGACGATCACATGGAGGTAGACTACATTAGAGCCATAATTACCTGGGAAGTGGGGTGAAACAAGTTAAGGATATTAATATTGTGGTACTTGGCAAGGAGCCAGAGCGATTAAATGACAGATTTAGGGTGTGTTGTAGCTGACGCAGAGAATGTGAGTTAAATGATGTTAAAAGTAGCACTAAGGTACCTTGGAGGCAACAACCTAGATAAATGGATCAGTGAAAGGACTTGGAATGAGGTTCGGCCACATGATGCAAGGTGTGGATGCTGTTAGTTTCATATTAATACCTCGGGCTTTGACCAGGGAAATAACTTTGTGATAAGAGCTTATTGAACAACAGACTACACCCAGATATTGATGACGCATAAATCACCTTTTGAAGTCATTGATTTCAAAGACAAACTGTAAAAGAATCAGAGCATGAATAATGCACAGAAATACGAAATGATTTATTCTTAATTCTTTCTAAAATTAAAACTCACTGGTTTTGATGGCCCCAATTTAATGCTGTCTGATAAGCTTTCCAAATCATTTAATATTTTTAGATAAACGTTTAAAAATATTTATAAAAGAATATCAAAATAGATTTCATATATAAAAAAATTGATATATCCAAAAATATCAAAATATTAAATGTTTTGAATATTTTCATCATTTTAAAAATGTAATTGAAATAGTAAATCACTTGTCGCTTATCCAACAATATTAAATTGAGGCCAATTTTGGTATGATTTATTTTTTTATGTTTGGGGGTTATTAAATGAACAAAGAATTATAATTAACTGAAAACTGAATTGCTAGATTTTAGACAAAAACAGAAAAATTCTTCAATTTAGCTGTAGCCACAGTTTGACTAATTGAACTTTAATTTTTCATTATATTCTTTGACTTGAATTTGGTTTTTACATCAATGCACATTGTTGGTAAATAAACAAAAATACTATCCAAGCTCAGCTATTCACATTTTTCATGGTACAGCTGGCTGAAGGAAGTTTGGCATTTGATAAATAATTTATTACACATAGTGAGATAGGGATTCTTTCCCTAATAGCAAAACACTACAAGCTGCCCACACACACAGCCACCGGTCCTTAAAACCCCAAGCCCACACACCATTCATGGTTTCTCAAACCCACGGCCTCTACGTTACGCGGGACGTTACATTCCACAAGCAGTCATGTCTGTTCTAATCCTGCGGGCATGTTCTG